GTCTACGAGGCCGAACTAGTTGGGCGAATCCGAAAGCCCAAAGAGACTCTGCAGACATTGGGCCAGGATATAAGACGTCTCACCGCTTTGGCCTATCCAGAAATGAGCCGTGCGGCCCAAGATCGTCTGGCTAGACGGAGTTTTGAGCAGGCCATTTTAGAGGAGGAGATCAGGAGGGCTATCCATGCCAAGGAGTGTAATACTCTCGATAAGGCCATCGAAGTTGCACTCAAAGAAGAGTCCTACATAGAATCAGAGAAGATAAGAAAAGGCCAAAAACCCAAGTATAGTAGAATAACTGCCATAGAGGAAAAGGAAGAGGAACTGAAGAAGCTGACTGAGTTAGTTGAAAGTATTAAAATTGATGTTCAATCAGAGTGTACCAAAAACTTAGAGAAAATGGTAGAGTTGCTAGCCAAACAGAACAAGTCTGATTCTGAACCTTCCAGTCAGCCATTCAAGAGATCAGAGTGCTTTTATTGTCACAAGGTTGGTCACAGAATAGCTGATTGCTATTCCCGGAAACGAGCTGGAGAGCGGGCTCAGCGTGATCAGGCTGGACAAGGTCATTCGACACAAACCGCACCAATCAAGTTCCTTAATCACCAGGGTAGAGAAGTAAGAAATAAGCCGGATCGTTCCGTTCTTGGTGAAGTGAGGAAAGTGATTGCCATTGGGGAGGTGTGTAATACCAACGTGGCCTTCTTGGTAGATTCAGGGGCTGTTCGTACTGTTTTAAGTGCAGAGACTTATCGTAGAATGCCGTTGTCTACCCAGCCTAAGTTAGTTCCTCCTAGCCATGTGTTAGTGCAGGCAGATGGAGAAGCTTTGAGTATGCTTGGTATGATTCCCTGTAGAATAAATATTGATGGCCATGTGGAAGACCTTGATGTGGTGGTTGCCAACATTGATTTTGAAGGCATCTTGGGAACTGACTATTTAGGAGCAGCTAGAGCTATTATTGACTATCACAGGAAGGTGATAACTTTTGGAAACCGGCGAGTTAGCTCTCCCTCCAATGGGTCCACTACACCAGATAATTTAGACCTGGAAACCTTCACCATAGAGCATCAGTCCGAAATAGAGATTGAAACTAGCGTTGCAACAATGGAATCTCCTAAAGACAAGGTTATCCAGGAAAAATTGGAGGATCCTCCTGAAGTTGGGCTAGAAAGTCCTCTGTCGTCATCCTATGACTTGTTTGAAGAGAAAGATGAGGATTCTCTTCAGGATTTTCCTGATGCTACAAGGGATTTGTTTGAATGTATCCCAGAAACCCCTTCTCCTGAAGCGGAGTCTAGTGTCTTCGTCACACCTCCAGAGTCTCCTATAATTATACCTGAAACTCCACTAGGGTCTCAGGAGGAGGATGATAGTCAGAAGGAAGACCTGAAGGATGAAGATAACACAGAAATTGTTTCCAACACAACTCTATGTTTTAGTGCCGCTGATGGTAGCATCATAGTACCTCCCTTTACGGGAATTCTTGTGGAGGTTAACTTACAGACCCCTATGAAAGGAACAGGCATCATTGAGGAAATGATTGAAAACCCTGATACAGAGGAACTTGAGATAGTGACCACTTTAGCTGACTTTGATAAAAGGAGTTATCTGGAAGTGAGAAATCCTAGTGCTTTAGAAGTTGAGATGAAAAAGGGAGCAACTTTGGGAGTGTTTACCTTAATTGAAGAGGGAGTATATCAGATTGCTGATGATCCGAAGACAGACAATGTTTGTCATCTCAGTGGAGACGGGGAGAAACTATCAGAATGTTTTTCTACTCCAGAGTCCGAACCACTCCCTCCACTACCAGACTTTCTCCAAGAACTATTTGAACGTAGTTGTAGTGGTTTAAGTGAGGAACAATGCCACAAACTTCAAGCTTTCCTGTTTAGAAACTCTGCTATTTTTGCCAAGAATGATCGGGACTTAGGGAAGACATCTTTGGCCCAACATAGTATTGATACGGGAGACACTCTTCCAATAAGACAGAGATATCGAATGCTACCCAAATGTAGACAAGATGAAGTAGATAAATTGATAGATGATATGCTGAGGAGAGGCATCATTGAACCTTCTCAAAGCCCCTGGGCTTCTCCAATAGTCTTGGTTAGAAAAAAAGATGGTTCCTGGAGATTCTGTGTCGACTATCGGAAACTTAATGATGCCACCAAAAAGGATGCCTTTCCGATTCCCAGGATAGATGAGACCTTGGACAGAATGAGTGGCTCACAGTATTTTAGCACGTTAGATTTAGCTAGCGGCTACTGGCAGGTCTCCTTGGATTCCGTAGCACGAGAGAAGTCAGCTTTCACCGTAAGAGGAGGATTGTTCCAGTGGACTGTTATGCCCTTCGGATTGTCGAATGCTCCGTCCACTTTTTGCAGACTAATGGAACAAGTTCTTGGTGGGCTAAGTAATGACGGATCTCTTGTCTATTTGGATGATGTCATAACATTTGCTCCTACTTTTGAGCAAGCGTTAAACAGACTGGAACGAGTTTTCGACCGTCTACGCCAAGCTAATTTGAAATTGAAGCCCAGTAAATGTATGCTATTCCAGACTGAGGTAAATTACCTGGGACATATGGTCTCTAAGAATGGGCTCTCTCCTGACCCAAAGAAAATTGAGTGGATGAGCAACTATCCCACTCCTAGGACTGTGAAACATGTCCGTCAGTTTTTAGGAGGGGCCTCGTATTACCGTAGGCATATCGAGAAGTTCGCAGAGACAGCTGGTCCTCTGCATGAACTGACTCGTAAAAATCAACGATTCCGATGGGACCAAAGAGCGGAGGATGCATTTGTAGCATTAAAGGAGAAATTGACAACAGCTCCAATTCTGTCATTCCCAAGGGATGACTGTCCATACATACTGGATACTGATGCTAGCTATGAATCACTAGGAGCTGTTCTCTCCCAAGTTCAAGACAATGAGGAACGTGTGATCTATTATGCTAGCCACCGACTTAGTGGAGCTGAACGCAATTATTGTGTTACAAGGAAGGAACTCTTGGCGGTAGTTCACTATGTGAAGTATTTTCGTCAGTATTTATACGGTGTGAGATTTACCATCCGGAGTGATCATGGGTCTCTCCGGTGGCTTACAAATTTTAAGAACCCTGAGGGACAATTGGCTAGATGGATTCAGATACTGCAAGAGTATAATTATCACCTGGAATACAGACCAGGCCAAAAGCATGCCAATGCCGACGTAATGTCTAGGAGACCTGAATCATGCACACAATGCACTCATTGTGAAGAAGTCACTGGAGAACCAAATGACACAGATTTGGAAATAGCTGTTGTCTCTGTTGAGCCGGATTGGGATCTTAAAGCAATTGCGAATGCTCAGCGAGAAGATCCAGAACTTATGCCTATAATTAAGGCCCTTGAAGAATCCAAAGTAAAGCCAACCTGGGAAAGTATCAGTTTTGACTCGCCGGCAACCAAACATTACTGGCATCTGTGGAACTCTTTAGAATTGAAGGGTGGTGTATTGTGTAAACGTTGGGAAGATCCTGATGGAAAGTGGATACGTTTGCAAATTTTGGTACCAACACCCATGAAGTCCACTGTTTTGGAGATGTGCCATTCCACTAAGGTGGCAGGACACTTTGGTGTGCGCAGGACATACTTGAAGTCTCGTCAGCGCTTTTATTGGTTTGAGCAACGAGTGGATGTTCGGGCTCTAGTACGTACTTGTCGAATTTGTGGAACTAGAAGGAAACCTCTAAAAGCCAGGAGAGCTCCACTTCAAGTACAGGGAGTAAGTGGACCAATGGAAAGATACGCTGTTGACATTCTGGGGCCCTTTCCTGAAACCCCAAGAGGTAACAAGGTGATTATGGTCTGCGCAGACTATTTCTCTAAGTGGGTTGAGGCCTACCCCTTGCCAAATCAGGAGGCAATTACGGTGGCAGACAAACTGGTTGCTGAGGTTGTTTGTCGATTTGGGGCACCAGCTGAATTGCATTCAGATCAAGGTCGTAACTTCGAGTCAAGAGTTTTTCAACAAGTTTGTGGATTGATGGGGATTCACAAAACGCGAACGACGCCTTTTCACCCTCAAAGTGATGGCATGGTGGAGCGGTACAATCGTACACTCCTGGACACCATAGCCAAGCTTCTTCAACCTGACACCCATCAACTCGATTGGGATTTACAAATCCCATTGGCGTTGATGGCGTATAGGACTTCCACCCATGAAGCAACAGGGGAGACCCCTGCCATGATGATATTCGGAAGAGAACTAAATGTACCTCTGGATTTGGTAGTTGATGTTCAATCCGATGAAACTGAGGAACCCGAAAATGAAACAGACTATGTGTCTGATTTAAGACAAGGATTAAAGGATGCACACGAGCGAGCTCGAGTTGTCCTGAAAAAGGCTGCCATCCGCCAGAAAACTGCATATGATCGACGTGTCGGGGGCAAAGGTTATACCAGGGGAGACCCTGTCTGGTACCTAAATAACAACAAAAAGAGGGGTTTATCCCCCAAGCTACAAAGCAGATGGAATGGACCCTTCCAAGTCTTGAAGAAACTGTCTGATGTTACCTATAAGATTTTGGAGTGGGGTAAGGTGAAATCTAAGATAGTACATTTCGACCAGCTAAAACCTTATGAAAGTACTCTTCCAACAGACTGGAAGATACCTGAGGAGGAGGAAGATCCGGAGATGTCTCCTCCGCTGCCAGAGGATCCAATGAAGATAGGGGAAACTGAGGGGTCTCCAGCCGTACCAGAGGACCAACTTAAGACAGAGGACATGGAAATGTCCCCTGCACTACCCGAAGATAGACTTAAGATGGATGAGGGTATGATAAACCCTGCCTTTGCTGACAATTCCAGGAAGACGGAAAGAGTTGTCGATTTCCCTACAATACCTGAAGGTTTAGTGAAGGATGAGGGATCTGTCCAGACAGATGAAGCTGTACCAGAGGAGATGGACCAGATGAAGCTAAAGATGAATCTCACTGGGGAAATTGTAGGTAAATCTGGTGAGTCAGGTAGGAGGTCTCGGAAACCTCCACGATACTTAGCTGACTATGAGGTGACGCTTGATTCTATTTGTACTTTCAGGACAGTGACAAAGATGCCTAGAGGGAGAGGCTATTATCCTAGCCGTAGAGATAGAGGGTGGAACCGTGATGACCGCCGAAAGAGATCAAATTGGCCAAGTGAGGAAAGGGGAGGCAGAAGCAGAGATAGGAGCAGAGGTCGAAGTAGGGACAGGAGTCAAGAGCGAAGTAGTAAGTGGGCCCGCTGGGATATGGACAGATCTTCTAGCCGAGAGACTGTGGGGTTGTTACAGTCTCTACCCCGTCAGGAACATAGGTCCCACCCTCCAAGATCAGAGAAAGACAGAACTCCCACACAACCATTAGATAACCCTCAGCCACATAGGTCCCACCCCCCAAAACCAGAGAAAGAGTTGAAAGACAGTACTCCCAAACAACCACAGGAGAACCCTCATCCATCAGCCGGGGTAGACCCATTTCCTAGATACCCCCCTTCGCCTAAGAAGACATTGAAGAACATGGGGAAACCCTCGGGACATACCCCATCAGCCACTCAGACCACAGCAGATGACCACAAAGCCTCCGTTGGTAAACATTCCCCTAGTCCGCAGACTTTGGGCGCTCGTGGCAGGTCTCCCTCTCTAGGTCAAGTTCTATCTGACCTACATGCTTTATCCACAGATCAAGCCTCACAAGACATCCCTATTCAGTTTTCTGGTTCTATACGGAGCCTAATGGATGAACTGTCTCAACAGATGTTATCTGGAAAAAAGGATGCCAGTGATTCCTTAGCTGGTGAAGCTAACAGTGACGCCATAGTGATCCCTAACGATCTATCGCTGGATCCAGAAGAAGAACCTCTTTGGGGTGTGGATTTGAGAAAGAGTAAGTCATCCACCTGGGGTAAGGGATCCGAGTATAAATCCAAAGAATTTGTGAGTTCCACCCCAACTTCCAGCACTGATGATTATTCCGATACCGAAGTAACAGTCTCGGCAAGGAAGAAGAATCCAACTACGACCAAATCAGGCTCCGCTCTGAAGGATTCTATGGACAAGGGAGCCAAGGATAAAGACCCCAAACGGGATACATCTGAGAAAAGCATTCAGCCTCCGTCTGATAATAAGAAGGCGCCAGCTGGGGTCAGTGCTCGCCATAAGCCCGACATAAGAAAGGGGTCCTCCGGAAAGACTCCGCTACCCCCTAAGTCAGATGTTAAGAAGCGGCCTACAGAGAACGCCCCACCACCCAGTAAATCAGATGTTAAACAGGGGCCAATTGAAAAAGTTCCCCAACCCCCTAGGTCAGATGCTAAGAAGCGGTCTTCCGAGAATGCCGCCCCACCCCCTAAAACAGATGTTAAACAGGGGCCGATTGAAAAAGTTCCCCTACTCCCTAAGCCTGATGTTAAGAAGTTACTCTCCACAAAAGCTATGGCACCCCCTAAGTTAGATGATAAACAGGGGGCCATAGAGAGGGCCATGGTTACTCCCCCAAAGTCGTCGGAGCAAGACGCTACAGTGAAGGGAGGACAGACAAAAGAGTCTAAAGACAAGGTTGGAGAGGTTCGAGTCCAGAGCCAGGATCCAACCCTTATACTCCGAAGGGTCGAAGAAGTATTAGCCCCAATTAAAGTTGAGGTGCGCTTTAGATATTACGCCCGAGATGGTCAAGTTCTTGAGGACCATACACTTATAACCAGGTACTCACAGTTAAAGATATAAATATGGACTCCATCGGAGATGTGTATAGTTGAGTACATAGCATAAACAGTTATAACATATAGATAAAGCATGAACATATAATCAAACAGTGTATATAGTGAACTATCTCGTATAGACAGTTGTAATTTATATATATAGTTCTGGAGGACCATACACTTATACCTTATAACCAGGTACTCACAGTTACAGATATAAACATGGACTTCATCGCAGATGTGTATAGTTGAGTACATAGACTAAACAGCCTTTCAGTTACAACTTATACCGATAAAGCATGAGCAAACAGTGTATATAGTGAAGTATCTCGTATGGACAGATGTAATTTATATATATATAGTTCTTGAGGACCATACACTTATAACCAGGTGCTCACAGTACAGATATAAACATGGACTTCATCGCAGATGTGTATAGTGGAGAACATAGCATAAACAGTTATAACATATAGATAAAGCATGAACATATAATCAAACAGTGTATATAGTGAACTATCTCGTATAGACAGTTGTAATTTATATATATAGTTCTTGAGGACCATACACTTATAACCAGGTACTCAAAGTTACAGATATAAACATGAACTTCATCGCAGATGTGTATAGTGGAAAACATAGCATAAACAGTTATAACGTATATAGATAAAGCATGAACATATAATCAAACAGAGTATGTGGTGAACTACCTCGTATAAACAGTTGTAATTAGTATATATAAAAAGAAAAATCATGCATGGACAATGTGTTAATGAGAGTGAGCAGTAGACAGTCGTCTTTGCATATGAACAGTAATTACATAGATATATTTTTATAACAAACAAAAGTTTTATTTTTGTACTCATATTATAGATAACTCTCATGTTAAAACATAAGTTAACTAAACAAAGTTATCACTGTTACTTGGAAGACAGTAATTTAGCTATCACAGTTTGTTATTAAACAGTTGATCTCACAATATATAAAGTTCTCTAAAATTTGTTCTTTTTGTTTTATCTTCTTTAGCTTGGTGTTGGTAAACACCAAAACCCAAAGATGAGAGGAGTGTCACAAATTTTAGAATTTTTCAAATTATTTTTTTTGATAAGTTAGTGTCGAGACGATACGGTAGCTTCACAGTTAGATTAGACCAGTGTCTTAGATGTATTTATATATTCCTTACTTACCACCAGTGATTTATCATCTATAGTAGTCAATCTTTATAGATTTGAGTCATTTTCTCAATCATTTGAAAACTTTTGAATATTTTTATGGAGGCCGCCATCTTGCTTTGACGTCATCAGAAAGTTACTTCCGTTGTAAAATTCAAAACCACGTGAAGAAAATTCACACAAAAACCTATATTACTCAGGTTAGTGTTTAGTTTGTACAATGCAATTAGTATCTTTATATTAATTAGTATCTAGCGGTTCTATTCAGCTAGTTTATAAAGTAACTCAAGGCTTAACCACGTCAAAATCTAGTGTTTAAGGTTAGATTAAACTGTTTGAAAGTTTTGTGACATTTCGTCATGATCATGAGCACGATCTTTTCAATCATCAATTTCTCGTTTAATTTGTCATTGATGCATTAATTATGACTGTGATTTGCAAAACTATATTATGTATTTCAATTCCCCAGTGAGAGTTTATTCATTTTTTGCATTTTAATGACGATTTTTGGACTTTTTCTTGTGAAACGAAGTCACGTGACCTGGACTTGGTTTCGATATACATGTACATATATAACCGGGGTATAAATACGGAGTGGGCATACAACAAGCCAGACACGTAGGCAACTTTTGGTTGGAACACATCTCCCGTGCCAGTGTTTCATTTGAGGATTGATGAGAAACTTAGAAGATTTGCTGGACCGAGAAACTTTGTCATTTCCAGACATAATTTAGATAACTCCAGCCTGATTGAAGAGATACTGCTGGACCGAGAAACTTTGTCATTTCCAGACATAATTTAGATAACTCCAGCCTGATTGAAGAGATACTGCTGGACCGAGAAACTTTGTCAATTCCAGACATAATTTAGATAACTCCAGCCTGATTGAAGAGATACTGCTGGATCGAGGAACTTTGTCATTTCCAGGCAAAGTTTTAGAATATTTCAGCCCGATTGAAGAAATACTGCTGGACCGAGAAACTGGTCATTTCCAGGCATAGTTTAGAATATTCCAGCCCGTTTGATGAAATACTGCTGAACCGAGAAACTTTGTCATTTCCAGGCAAAGTTTTAGAATATTTCAGCTGATTGAAGAATTACTGCTGGACCGAGAAACTTTGTCATTACCAGACTTAGTTTATATTATTCCAGCCTGATTGAGAAGGAGTGCCATCAACTTGTATTTTCAGGTGTTATTAAGTAACTTGTTTTTCTATTGTTAACTTGAGAAACTTTGCCATTTTTCGAAATCAATTGTTAACTTGAGAAACTTTGCCATTTTCAAGATCAAGAAACTTATTTAGCAATTAATGTTTTTCTATTGTTAACTTGAGAAACTTTGCCATTTTTGAGGTTGAGAAACTTACATTATTATTTTCATAATTTAGTTAACTTGAGAAACTTAGCCATTTTTTAGATTAATTATATGTCATCAATTTGCTGACTGAAGTAATACTGCTGGACTGAGGAACTTTGCCATTTCCAGACAAAGTTCATAATATTCCAGCCTGATTGAGGAACTTTGCTGGATTGAGAAACTTTGTCAATTCCCGACATAGTTTATACAATATTCCAGCCTGACTGAAGGAACTTTGCTGGACTGAGGAACTTTGCCATTTCCAGACAAAGTTCATAATATACCAGCCTGATTGAGGAACTTTGCTGGATTGAGAAACTTTGTCATTTCCCGACAAAGTTTATACAATATTCCAGCCTGACGGAAGAAATACTGCTGGTTTGAGGAACTTTGCCATTTCCAGACAAAGTTCATAATATACCAGCCTGATTGAGGAACTTTGCTGGATTGAGAAACTTTGTCATTTCCCGACATAGTTTATACAATATTCCAGCCTGACTGAAGAAATACTGCTAGACTGAGGAACTTTGCCATTTCCAGACAAAGTTCATAATATTCCAGCCTGATTGAGGAACTTTGCTGGATTGAGAAACTTTGTCAATTCCCGACATAGTTTATACAATATTCCAGCCTGACTGAAGTAATACTGCTGGATTGAGAAACTTTGTCATTTCCCGACATAGTTTATACCATATTCCAGCCTGACTGAAGTAATACTGCTGGACTGAGGAACTTTGCCATTTCCAGACAAAGTTCATACTATTCCAGCCTGATTGAGGAATTTTGCTGGATTGAGAAACTTTGTCATTTCCCGACAAAGTTTATACAATATTCCAGCCTGACGGAAGAAATACTGCTGGTTTGAGGAACTTTGCCATTTCCAGACAAAGTTCATAATATACCAGCCTGATTGAGGAACTTTGCTGGATTGAGAAACTTTGTCATTTCCCGACATAGTTTATACAATATTCCAGCCTGACTGAAGGAACTTTGCTGGACTGAGGAACTTTGCCATTTCCAGACAAAGTTCATAATATACCAGCCTGATTGAGGAACTTTGCTGGATTGAGAATCACTTTCCGACATAGTTTATACAATATTCGAGCCTGACTGAAGTAATACTGCTGGATTGAGAAACTTTGTCATTTCCCGACATAGTTTATACAATATTCCAGCCTGACTGAAGAAATACTGCTAGACTGAGGAACTTTGCCATTTCCAGACAAAGTTCATAATATACCAGCCTGATTGAGGAACTTTGCTGGATTGAGAAACTTTGTCAATTCCCGACATAGTTTATACAATATTCCAGCCTGACTGAAGGAACTTTGCTGGACTGAGGAACTTTGCCATTTCCAGACAAAGTTCATAATATACCAGCCTGATTGAGGAACTTTGCTGGATTGAGAATCACTTTCCGACATAGTTTATACAATATTCCAGCCTGACTGAAGTAATACTGCTGGATTGAGAAACTTTGTCATTTCCCGACATAGTTTATACCATATTCCAGCCTGACTGAAGTAATACTGCTGGACTGAGGAACTTTGCCATTTCCAGACAAAGTTCATACTATTCCAGCCTGATTGAGGAACTTTGCTGGATTGAGAAACTTTGTCAATTCCCGACATAGTTTATACAATATTCCAGCCTGACTGAAGAAACTTTGCTGGACTGAGGAACTTTGCCATTTCCAGACAAAGTTCATAATATTCCAGCCTGATTGAGGAACTTTGCTGGATTGAGAAACTTTGTCAATTCCCGACATAGTTTATACAATATTCCAGCCTGACTGAAGAAACTTTGCTGGACTGAGGAACTTTGCCATTTCCAGACAAAGTTCATAATATTCCAGCCTGATTGAGGAATTTTGCTGGATTGAGAAACTTTGTCATTTCCCGACAAAGTTTATACAATATTCCAGCCTGACTGAAGTAATACTGCTGGATTGAGAAACTTTGTCATTTCCCGACATAGTTTATACCATATTCCAGCCTGACTGAAGTAATACTGCTGGACTGAGGAACTTTGCCATTTCCAGACAAAGTTCATACTATTCCAGCCTGATTGAGGAACTTTGCTGGATTGAGAAACTTTGTCAATTCCCGACATAGTTTATACAATATTCCAGCCTGACTGAAGGAACTTTGCTGGATTGAGAAACTTTGTCAATTCCCGACATAATTTATACAATATTCCAGCCTGACTGAAGAAACTTTGCTGGACTGAGGAACTTTGCCATTTCCAGACAAAGTTCATAATATTCCAGCCTGATTGAGGAATTTTGCTGGATTGAGAAACTTTGTCATTTCCCGACAAAGTTTATACAATATTTCAGCCTGACGGAAGAAATACTGCTGGTTTGAGGAACTTTGCCATTTCCAGACAAAGTTCATAATATACCAGCCTGATTGAGGAACTTTGCTGGATTGAGAAACTTTGTCATTTCCCGACATAGTTTATACAATATTCCAGCCTGACTGAAGAAATACTGCTAGACTGAGGAACTTTGCCACTTTCAGGCATAGTCTATATAACTCCAGCCTATTTGAAGAACTTCGCTAGATTGAGAAACTCTGTCATTTCCAGACTTATTTACGGACTTATACCCCGTTGATTGAGCCAAGTCCAGAATACTAGAGACAATAGTGTGCACAAGGATAATTATATATAGGACTCTTATAATTAGTGTTTTATTGACAGTGATCACGTATCAAGAACTTTTATATAGTGCCTCAGTAACTGAAAACAGCGATTTCCATGTATTAATTTGATGGGCTATAAATGCCACAATATATGTGTTATATATAAAATTGTATATGAATGTTATGTAGTGATTTCCCACGTGTGTATTTAACGTATACCCTGAGACCCACAGTGACACAGTCTATTAAACAACATCCACACTACCATAATTAGGCTGAATGTTACAATTGATTGGCCAAGAGTTCATCTATAATCCTGACCTCTTGTGGATGTAAAGCGTGAGAACATCTGATTAGACCAGTTCCCATGGCAGTGTGTTACCTGTCATTCCTCTGGAATGATGCACACTTTCCTCCAAAAGATTGGAAACAATTGTAGTACAGTAAAACCTGTACATCTGAACACTTGGCTTATCCGAACACGTCCCAATTCTTGAATGATCTCACTCATGGTGGGGCTTTCTAGGATGACTAAATTCATTTGAATCGGATGTTCATGTCACTGTAATGCCATAAAGCTATGTGGTCAAAAAAACTATAAATATTTATTGAGAATTTGTTACTATTTCTTCAAAATCCCAAATCTTGCAAATGCAAAACCTCAAAATGTGAACACCTCCTAACCTGAATGCTTTTAGCTGGTCCCTCGGATTAGTCAGGTTTTACTGTAGGTACAATCCCCTCTAAAAGTTACTGGAATCACTGACTG